AAAGAGTGCAAGATACTTGATACCCTGCAAGTGGTTGATGCCTCCCAGTCATGGAGTTATTAGACCCATCAAAGTGTATTTGTCTTCAGAAATATGGAGGTGCTGTCTATCAGTTGCACAATGGAGTGTTGGGTAGTGCTTCTGCGTATGATTTGGTCAGATCCATTTGTAATATCAAACAGAGTCAAGCCAGGATGAGTTTTGGCATAGGATATCTTTTGGCTCTTCTTAGCAATGATGGATTATACTACTGGAGATGTAAAGATAGGAATTGGTATTAAATTTAAAATATCTGGCAAGCTCCTTGACATGAAGAACCTGAAATCTTCCATAGAAGTAACTGAGAGACAGTTATGCATGAGTTAGTTTTTTATGCAGATGATTATGCTTTTTTTGCATATGCTCCAGATGACCTCCAGTTATTCATCCAGTAAGTTTTGCTGAAGTAGTTGAAACTATTTACTATTAATCTGAAAAAAGAGAGGTAATGTATCAGCTTCTACCTGGAAAAGCATATGCAAGGCTTAGCATCACAGTTAGTGGTGCTGAACTCAACATACTGTATTTACTTGCATACCATATGCACCTTTTCCATAAAAATTAGTCCTCCAAAATTGGGCTATATGTCTTGTATGGGAAAGCTGATTTTTCTTCTTTGGAATAGAAGCAGGGAGACACTGCTGCAAGATGGATGCTGTGCTTCTCCCTCCTCCAGCCTCAGGGAGGGAGGGGGGCAGAGTTCACCCTTCAGGATCAAAGCTACCGTGTTAACCCTTTCACAGTCACAGCTATTAGTCAGGATTCCCTGCATTCAGCCATGACTGGAAAAATCTGTTTTTCTTCATTCTGTCTACCCAAAACAAGGTGCATGTCTTATTTGGAGTGTGTGGTATGTGAGAAAATATGTTAATAGCATTGAGTTCTCCTGGGGTTTTGCCAAATATTCATCTTACTGAAAAAATAGTTACACGTCTTAAAATCAGTATTCTACAAATAGCAACATTAACTTTGTAAGCAGGATATTTTTACATAACAGATCAACATTCCAAGTTTACCATGCTGTATAATAATTTTTTCCATATATATTTAAGATACCTTTGAACTGTCATGGATTGTAAATGATGTGATAAATTGGAGGCATGGTACTACAGGAATGGGGAACTGTATAAATAGCCTAATAACAAAATAATTCATGATGAAGTTATGAAAAGAGATTGCATAAACAGTTTTGAAGAACCACTGCTAAAAGCACAGTTTTTCAGCACTCAGTAAGGAGGATACCCAATGAAAGTTCAGTATGCAGACAGGAAGGAATATATAATAATGCTTTCAAAATGTGACTTAGATTGTTAGGGGCTGGAAGGGACCTTGTAGATCATTGGGTCCAGTCCCCCTGCACTAGGCAGGAAAAGACAACTGGGGTCAAGTGACCCCAGCGAGGTGACTGTCCAGTCTCTTCTTACAATAGATAGTCATGTTTTGGGAAGGATTGGCTAAGAAATTATTTTGGCAAGGCACTAATGAGTGGTGTTTGTTATGTGTTATATTAGGCAGTAAGAGAAGTTATCCCTTCAAGGCAGAGATAGTTGGTATGAGATGTTTCTAGCAGATGCACACAACTACATTTCCCTCCCTGACTTATGGAAAGGCTGTTAAATTGGTATTTGGACTATATTTGAATCCACCAAAGCTATTACTGTACTAAGCATCTTTGATGTATACAACTAGTGATTAGAGCTTTCAAGGAGCTATGGAACTCAACAAGCTTGTTCTGTTAGTAACTAAGAAAAGTAATGATTATCAGGTTGCTGAGGAGAGGACTTTATTTTTCTTTCTGCTATTTCACAGACTATTTGGCAGTTCTGACTGCCAATAATCTTTTGAGGTAGATTAAAAAAGGAAGAAGGATGGTTTTGTGTGCAAAGCACAACACTGTGAGTCAGAAGACCTGGGTTCTATTTCTAGTTCTGCTGAAGTCTTTCTGTGTGATCCTGGGCAACCCACATAATTTCTCTCAAATAGAGATGATAATACCTATCTCAGGGTTATTTTCTTAATACAAATTCATTAATATTTGTAAAGTTCTCTGAAACACCTGAATGGTGCTGCACAATGCAAAATTTTCAAGAGCATTATAAAATAATTATAGGAAACTACCACTAATGAAGGAAGAGCTTTTCTGTTCTTTTGCAGTTAAGGTGAAAATGGATCACTGCCAGCAGAAATGTTACCAGCTTCTGAATGTCTCAGAGCACAAATAGTTTTCTTCAGCTCATAAAAGAAGTTCTCAAGTGAGGCAAAAAACAAATCAAGGAGCATATCTGTGGGGGACCTGCAGGGGAGATCATGCTCAGGGGCAATTGGCATGGGTTCACCAAAGGCAGGCCCTGCCAGACCAATCTGATTGCCTTTTACAACCAAGTAACTAAATCCTTGCATGATGGTGTTGCTGTGGACATAGTCTTTCTAGACTTTAAGAAGGCCTTTGACATGGTCTCTCATCCCATCCTAATCAAAAAATTAAGTGGCTGTGGCATTGATGCCTGCACAGTTGGGTGGGTAAAAAAATGGCTGATGGGGCACACCCAGAGAGTAGTGATGGACGGCTTGCACTCACCCTGGCGAGATGTGAGCAGTGGGGTACCCCAGGGCTCGGTCCTGAGGCCTGCACTGTTTAACGTCTTCATCAGCGACTTGAACAAGGGGGTGGAAAGCACGCTGTCCAAGTTTGTTGATGACACTAAGATGTGGGGCGAGGTGGACACACTTGAAGGGAGAGAGAGGCTGCAACTAGATTTAGACAGACTACAAAAGTGGGCAGACGAGAATAGGATGGGGTTCAACGTAGACAAATGCAGGGTGCTGCACCTTGGGAGAAGGAATCCACAGCATACATACAGGCTGGGGAGTTCCCTTCTTGAAAGCACAGAGGCGGAAAGGGATCTCGGAGTCATTGTTGACTCCAAGATGAACATGAGCCGCCAATGCCAGACTGCAGCCAGCAAGGCCAGCCATACCTTGTCATGCAT